TGGCCTCGCATATTTTCGACCATTGATGATAGTCAGTGCATAGCAAGGCCTGTGGATACGGATTTAGTGTAAACAGGTTCACCTGAACGACGACATGAGGTCAGAGGATTAGCATTCTACGGTGAAAAGTTTTGCTACAGATACTGACGAATGTAGTTCGAAAAAGTCTTTAGTGGCAATCCTTCAAATATTGGTTATTTGTGAAAATTGATCTTGAAGCAGTCTTCCCGGAAGAAATTCGAATAAAGCAAAGGCTATGAGGTTTGCAGAATTTTATGTCTTACAATTTCGTGACCTCTTATTCGACTGCAAACTGTCCTAGACGGCTGAAAATTGATAGGTAAAGAGAGCAGGAACTGTTGGTCTTGGATGCGAATGCACATGTGTCAAAATGGCTACTTAGAATGGAAAAAAAGATACACAAATGTTCAACCACAAAGCAACTGGCCGTACGGTCTACCCAAGTGCTGCATTTAAGGTCTAACTTCGGGCGACGATCGGGCGTCTCCTGCGATTTCCAGGGGGCCGCTGCAATACAGATAAGAAAACCAGAACTCTGTAAACAACTGGATCACGTGTTCAACCTCGCGTTGCCGTGGTAACGATCGATAAAGGACGATAACTCATTCCCTCTCTCCCTTCTCCCTTCGCCGTATGACCGACTGCTGCCTTGCCGTTTGCCCCCCGGTTAATCCCATTTGACAGCCTTTTACTGTAACCGCGACCGCCTCGCTTCGATGACTGCCTCCCCCTCCTCATACGCGCCCGCATCCAAGACCAATAGCTCACGCTTATCAAATTCTGCAAACCTCCTGCCTTTGTCCCATTCAAAATTGGCCTTGCCGCGCAACCTAAGGGATAATCCTGACACCAACTAAGTTGCACATTTTATTTGATGATGTTACTACCGAGATTCCGAGCAACACTAATGGACACTTAGGACAGAACCGTAAAAATGTCGGAGATGCGGATTCAGGCGTCGGTTTTGTTCGACCGCCAAAAAATCAAGCAGTGATGAATTTCATGACACAAGTCCTGG